ATTTTATTTTGTCGTTGTCTTTGTCGTTTGTTTACTAGCGCTTAGAACAGATTTGTATTTGCGCTTTATAAATAAATATTATTATTATTATTATTATTATTATTATAACAGCCAGTAAGCTGCAGCCAGTCATGGCGAAATTAGTTTTAGCTCAGTCATACCTAATTTCTGGCAAAACATTACTGGTCAAAATGACCGGCAAGGCAAAGATTTAACCAGAAAGGTTCCAATTCTGGGCGGATATTGGCCTATGCCTGGCAGTTATTTAAAGCCCTGACTTAAGCTTAGCTGATTGGATGTAATTTTGACTAAGGTTTCATTTGTCAATGCAGATGTCAATTGAATATTATGCTTGGAGATATCAATTGGTGGTTGTTTAGGTTTGACAGAAATAAAACAAGTTCCATGACTGGCAGCAAGAATTGAGTCTTGTCAAATTTTCTCTGAGTAGCCTTTGTAAAAGTCACTCTTAATAGACCATTTTCCAATTTGTATAATACTGCAGTGTTCCTTAATTACAGACTTACTCAGGGTTAGCCTCATCAGTGTCACAATATTCACAAATTGCTTAAAACTTTTAATTCACAAATACAAATGGTAAAAAATGCACAACTTCAACAATACAAACACTTCAAAATTTCACGGAACTTTACTGGAATACATGAATACTTTTCATAAAATTAGGCTAAGTCTGACCAACAGCAAACTCGAACCTTGAACCTTCCATTGGGGTTTCGAGGAATATATTCAGTTTTAGTAACCCTTTCTTAATAATATTAACCCTGAGATGTTATAATATTCTTGCTTATCATGTGTTTTCTTTATAGTTTTCATTTCCTTGTATCAAAACAAAGATAACTAATCTTTTGTTTACACTTTTAAATAATAAAAATTTTTTTACAAAGTAATTGTAACTACAATATTCATGACATATTTTGAGGAAGTGTTTAATATTTATTTGCCAAAAAATTAGTTAAAAACTGTAGGACAATGGATTTGTTCTTTCTTTTGCAGGGCGATTTCTGATTCTTCTCTCCACCAGACTGTAATGGGAGGCCAAATTAAAGGTATATATGATGACAGCATTATTTTTTAAAGATTTCCCTCTCTCCCGTTTTATGTTTTGCTATAATAATCAATACTTTTGCTTTCACAGATATGGATATGAACAAAATAAATGATTTTAAAAGGGTAAGTTTTTAACATTTCATTGCTTGAAATTTGTTTTCATATAAACAAAGATGACTTCAATAAATAATATCTTGGTAAGTAATGAAAATGAAATGGGATTTCCATTCACATTTGTTCTCCCAGCCATACAGCTTCCAGTTCATTTCCGTAACATACATATTATCACTATATATAATAAGATTATTTTGTCTTAGCAATTTTCTTCCTGTAGTTTGGAAAGTTTTGTTTCTAAATATTATGCTATAATTATTATTTTGGATATCTTACCAAGAGAAATTTTTTATATTCAAAATTTAGTCTACCTTATATTACCAAAAAAAAACATGCCTGTCTGCCATTGTTGAGACATTTATTTTTTATGCATGCAACAATTATTTTGCATCTTTGTCCTGTCTACATCCAATTCTTTGTGGCTTTTGATCAAACAGTCTACTCTTAATGTTCTTTTGTTGAGTTTTTTACACAAGATGTATAAAGAAATATATACATCTTAGTTGCATTCTTGAAATGAATTTTATGAATATCCATATTATGCTATATCTCATGTAGAGATATTTTTCCATTTGGAATATTGTTTATGCTACATAAACTGTTCTACAGACACTTATCTTCGTATTCAGGAAGTGGTTATCATATTATGAGCTTACACTGAAATATTAGCTGTTTCTAGTCTAAACAAGGAACAAGTCTAGATCCCAGATCAGATGCAAATCAGTGCTTTATAGCTCACATCTTGTGAATAAGTGAATTATAAAAGTCATAGGTTTGAGGACAGTTACCCAGAACATCACAGAAAAAAAAACCAGATTCCCAAATTGGGAATTGTTGGGAATTTCCTTGAATTCCAAATCCAAACACCAACGTTGGGATTTATTGTAGGGAATTTCCTTCTAATACCCAATAGAAAAACAAAATTCCCAACAAACTAACATTGGGAATCAGTGCCATGTTCCCAATTTCGTTCTCTCTGGGAATTGGATGGGAATTCGTTGGGAATTCAAGGAAATTCCCAACAAATTCCCAATTTGGGAATCTGGTTTTCTTTCCTGTGCATATAGATTATAACATAATTACATTGTACTTAATTAGTAGCAATGTCTCCTGTGCACCTACCAGGGGGTAGGAAAGGTAATATACCTGTCATCTTAAAAGACAAAGAAAATCTAGAAATCACAAAAACACTCCTCTAGCTTGGAATTTGTTGTCATCAGATTCCAGAGGCTCTGGATTTGACTGTGTCTCCTCTCTTAAAATGTCAAATATTAAATACATAATATTGATAATAGTACTTTATTACTGCAAATTCTGTTGCATCTGCTCATTCTCTATCCCTGGATATTCATCAACGAAAGGTGCATACCAATAATAATTATTCTAAAGTAAAATGAATGCGAAATGCCCGAGATGTTTTCAGTATGAAAAGCATAAACTCTGAAAACTAGCTTGATCAATACATTCTTCTAGTTTGTTTATGACCTATTGAGTTCTCAATAGCCTTATTTTTTGCATATATCAAGGCTTTAATAAGAACGAAGCACCCAGGGCACATCTTGATGGTTCCAGCTAGTTGTTAATTTAGTTATATGTCGTCTAGAGCTTTGTTGCTCTTTTACAGGCTGGGAGTCCTCAGAGTAGACCTCGGTCTTGTGAAGTACCTGGAATTAAGTAAGTATTGCTATATATCATTTCTATATGACATTTATAAAATAACTGTTTATAGGACTTTGTTCCGAGTTCTAATGGTGCAGTATTCTGTTGATCTATAATTTTGATGTGTTGTCAACCATTGTTTAACACTGCTATCATTGTATAGTTTGAAAAAATATGCATATCATCTCCATGAAGGAGAAATATATTTTACAAGGGAATAATCCTCCTCCATGGGAGAGATTCTGTATATTTGGAAATACTCTTTTTGTTTTGTTTTTCGCCCCCCAATTTAAAAAAAAATCTTTTTGTAATTGTATTCTAGTTCTTCTAGAATGTATCAAACAGAACAAGTTTCTCCAGTCAGCACTCCACAAATGGCGAACACTGGCTCCTTGCCAGATTTGACCAACCTTCATATTCCATCACCATTACCGACCCCAATTGATGTCGACGATAACCAGATGAACCAGGCTGCTTCTCCGCCTCATTACCAAACGTCACCAAGACATGTCAGAAGACATACACACTCACCTGTCGTGGATAAGCAGCCATTCCCCCCTCAGATGCCTTATATGGACCCAAATATGTCACCATTAGAACTGCGGCTACAACAGTTCCAACCATATCAACAGTCCCCTACTAGTACCTCAGATGCATCAAATCAGTTTGTGTCACACAATACGACGGTTTCATCGCCAATTATGTCGCCTACTGCATCAACGTCAATGTCACCACTTTTGAAGAATCTTCCTAACCCGCCCTTATCGCCATTGGCAAGTGACTTTTCCTTTAAACAACAGCAAATAAACAACTCACTGCAACAGCAGATGCAACAGGATCCATTTGGAATGAATCTTGCTTACATTGGTGGTGGACTGCAACAGAGAATGCAGTTCCAGTCCATGCCGCAACAGGGCATGCAATCTCCCAACAACTTTGGCCAGCCTGGCAACAGACTGCCAGATTTAATTATAACAAGCGAAGATGAGGAATCTCAAAGACTTGACTTTGCGCGGGAGCTTAGTTCTGCAATGGCTAATGTTGGAGGTGGCAATCCCAGTGATCTTTATAGTGAAGAGCTAGGGCAGTTGGATATGGAAAGTTTACAGATGCTATCAGGTCATGGGGATTCAGAAGTAGCAGATCAGGCTACGGAAGATCAATTTCGCATGGATAGATTGGCAGGGTAAGTGTTCCAACAACACAAGAATAGATCTCTTTAACTTGAGCATAATGTATTCCCATTTCATAACATGTATCATTCCCTAGAGTATCATCTCATTGTTTAACGGTTGCACATGAGAAGACATGAATATAAGTATCACTCAAACAAAGAATCTTATTCTCTAGAGAATGAAACATGGTCTGAAACAGGGAACATGGCAAAACTCAAAAACATGGTACTCTTTTTTTAATCTTTGTATCACAGTCAGGTTCCGTAAATTACGATGTTTTTTCTTTGACTTGGCGTTTTTTTACAGACGTTTTGACTGACACTTCAGCCTTCAGCAGTAATAAAAGGAGAACAAAGTTCATTCTCTTGCACTTCCCACTTCTTTACTTTCATTTATTCTTATTTTAGGTCGTATGGTTTCCAATAAAACCAGGGAATCCAAGAATAGAAGAATTAACATTTTAGTACTCCAAGAGTACGAACGAACAATTAACTCTACATCCCATCATATCAAATGAAGCGTTTGTACAGATTGTACAGTAAAAAGCCAAGCATGTGATATGTAAAATATATGGTAGCTCTGGGATTCCTGTGCCTTAATGGAAAGCTAGGAGACTGGGATAAGGTTACATCTACATAAGGAAATTCATTTCTTTACTGTAAGGAGAAGAAAAGATTTTAAAAAAAGCAAAAACTGCTTAGCAGAGGAAAGTTTGTCAAAGACATAAAACAAGAGAACTGGTTTCTCTATCGGAAAGGACCCAAACTGCTTTCCCCAGGCCCTACTCTGGTGATCAACATACAGGTATACCATGACCACTTTCTTTAACAGAGACATTTCACATGCGAAAATGCCAAATAACAAGAAAAAAAACTTTTTAATCCAATGTGTTAACTTATTTTTGAATGCCCATAAGTAGTGTATCGTTACTGCAATAACAAAAATAATATAGAAGTCAGCGTATGAAATATTAATATCTGGAATAAGGATCTTATTTCTATCGTTATATCTAGTGCACTTTGATCAAAAATGCATTCTACTTTCATTAGGAATAGACTTCCGTTTTTCCACACCACGTGTTATTCCCTTGAGTATTATTTTTTTCATTTACCAGTAACATTTGAGGAGATGCATAACTTGGATCAGAGTCAAATTGAAAATAATATTTTCGAGGGGATAACACGCAGTCTCAGTGCTAACTGCTGTTAAGGTTTCTCGTAACTTAATGTCCTTGAATCCTTGGAAAATCTGAGAGATATTTAATAAAAAGAAGTAAAGTTTTGATTTCCACTTCTATAAATTCTTAGAAATATTTTTTTCTTTTATGTTTTATATTTCAGACGCATGCGTTTGCCTTGAGTAATATTTCTTTCTTAGCATTCGTAAGCATGTTTTAATAGAGTAACGTCGTCTCAAAGTAAAATAAGTTAAACTTATTCTGGATCGAAAAATATACTAAGGGAAAACGGTGTCCAAAGTAAAAAGCTCTTCTAAAATTACGGTCTTTTTTGTTTGCTTTTTTGCTTTTTAAACTTAAATTAGTAGAAAACTATTCATAACCGAGTCATTACCTTCGTAGTACTTTCTAATAGGTTGCTATCAATAGACGTCACTTCCGGTAATAGCTCTTTTTTGATGGCTTGTAGAATCCTGGAGGTTGTTTTGATCTCTTGTTTTCTGGTTTGATGTCGTGAAAATAGTCAAATACAATAGTTTGAGGACTTTTTTTAATATGTTTTGACTTAGCATCCGCTAGTTGCCCCCCAGTCAAACGCTTGTTTGCCCCCCAGTCAACTCCAAAAAGTCACGTGATTGATAGTAAGCAATAGCTATATTCGGAATTTTGAAATTATATTTTCTCATAAAGAACTTTGTATTCAAAATTATTAAAGATAAAGCTACAAAGACGTCATTGAAGAGAGACTAGTTATTCCTTGAGTTTCGTTCAATGTTATCAGTGTTCTTGTTTATTTTTCATCTTTTGAGGAGTGAATACCGATTTTCCAAGGATCTTGTTGTCTTAGGTGCGTAGTGTTTCAGTGTGAATAACATTTCTTTCATTAGGTCAGTACTGATGTTACTATAGACAAAATAACACATTGGAGATGAAGTTATACAAAGTGTAAATGATTTGATGGAGTTTGGTCATTTATTACACCAAAATCGTAACTTTTTGTGAAACATTTTCCAACGTGTTGTAGCAAAGGCCACGATCGAGTCTAAGCACAGGCAACCCAACCTCTAGTCTTTTGGTCGAGTTATCTTTCTTTTTTCCCTTATCTTTTTATTTTATTTTATTTTTTTCTTCTCTTTCCCCTTTTTCTTTTTGACTAAACAAAGATCGACTGAGAGTGAGTGAATGAATGAACTTTATTTCAAGAGGTTGATGGGTTGCCTGTGTGTTTTTATGACCTTCGTATTCAGTACTGATCCAATGATTTTTATACCTGTTCCAAGGCTTTGTAAACGTTAAATTAACTATCTAATATCTAAGAATATATATATAAAAAATCCGAGGTTGCTTTACTCATAATAAAACAAATAAGAGTATATCAGAAATTGTAATTGTGTTGATAATTCGTTCATAAGCATTCTTTCAGTTAGAATCATAATAAGCTCGCTTGTACTTCGATATTCGAAACTATTAACCTTTCTATGAGGTGTATTTAAAAATTTCGATGAATGAACTCTTGCTTAGGATATACGTTAAAAGAAATGATATTTTTATTTGTTTGGTGCTTAGGCGTATAATATATTTCTTATTCTGTATTCCTCGTAGAGCGACGCTAAAATATAATTTTTATTAAATATTTTCAAGATATTTCTCATAATTATTCAAGTTTGTCAAGACGAAGTATCCCAAATTTGGAAATTGTAACTTAAGCAGATTTTGTACCAAAAGGAATTCGGACTCTCAAAATGGCTTCCACGTTCATTGTTTTTGATTGGTTGACAAAATAGGTTGGTAAAATTCGTTTAAATTGATTGGCTGATAGTATTGAGCATTTGATTGGTTGATTGATAGTATTCGAGTATCTTGATTGGTTGATAGCATTCGTAAATTTTGATTGGTTGATGGTAAACTTTATCTTGATTTGTCATTAGTATTATATTTGTGTATTGTAATTGGTTGATAATGTATTATAATCGCGTAATTTGATTGGTTGGTGATATTCGTGCATTTTAATCGGTCGAAATTGAGAATATTATTTGTGCTTTTCGATTGGATGATGATAGTATTCCTTTATATTCATTGGTTAATAGTATTCATGCATTCTGATTACTTAAGAGGGGAAGCCTTTTGAGCATCAAGTCTCTTGTCTTCCTTCTTGTACAAAATCGTTTTTATTTGTAAATGTTTGGTTAGAAGATAAACTAGTTTGCATCCTACTCGTAGCTAATTCAATTATCTATGGGCATCTTTTACAAGAACTACCAGGAAAGGTATTTCAGAATCGTAACTCTAAAAGCAGCGAAAGAGAACTTGATGGGTAAGTTTGGGCGAGAAAAGGACCTCGATTAGAAGCGCAGTATTTTAGTGAACTGTTTGTAAACATTCCTTGAAAGTCTATTACATTTTCACTGAACACTGTATATGTAGTTATCATTCCAGTATTCTATGCATGTAGACCGTACAATTGTACTAATAAAGGTAAATAGTTCTGTCAAAGTCGTTTATTCTTTGCGAATATACAGCAGCATTCCTAACCCAGCCCCACAATTCTCCGCGGCATGAGTTGATTACCAATCCGTCTTTCCGAGTCTTACTTATCTTGAAGCAATTGAAATATTGGAGTGATCATTATTCTAAGCGTCCTGATTGGTCAAAAATATATGGAAGTTTATTCTAAGCGACCTGATTGGTCAAAAATATATTGAAGTTTATTCTAAGCGTCCTGATTGGTCAAAAATATATGGAAGTTTATTCTAAGCGACCTGATTGGTCAAAAATATATTGAAGTTTATTCTAAGCACCATGATTGGTTAAAAATATATTGAAGTTTATTCCAAGGGTCCTGGTTTGTTAAGAACATGTTGTAAATTATTGCATGCGCACTGTTTGGTAGAAAACGTTTGTTATTGCTCCGATGTATAGATTTAGTGCACGCGTTAAACTTACATGTAGCAGATTTAATACGACCTATTTCAATAAAAGTTGTCATCGCCAAAGACGTTAGGCGGCAATAGGAGATAGGCGAAAAGCGATAGGAGATAGGTCATTGCAAGAATACTGAGCTGGAATGACTTGTTTCTAATGCTTATTCTCGTCAAGAAGGAGGGCCTTAGTGTTGAGACTGATTCAATGTTGTTTGTAGTCGAGGAAGCCATTTCCATGTAGGAATGACCTATCGCCTATCGCCTTTGGCGATGACAAGGTTTTTTTGAATTTATTAAATAGGTGTATACCTTCGTTAGAGCGTCTTTTTTTCCCCTGTCGATCTATTTTGCCTGCATTACTCGCCTGGATGGCAGAATGCAAAGAACGCTTTTTTCAATATGGGCAAAAACTTCAATAAAATTACGAAATTACGAAAAGCACAGAAACGAAACAGTTTCTATGGGGACATGTTTTTGCCTTCCTTTAGGGCTCCCTCTGGTTTAAATTTTATTTGACTTTAAAAGATTCAAGTGTTAGACAGGGTTCGGTCTGTGAGTTCTTTTCGACTTCGATCTGCCCATCTGCCCAAAGGAACATCGATCAAATCTAAAGGATTGTTTTCTATGGTTCACTGACATTTGCGTTCAACAAAAGTTAATGTGCATATAAAGCCTATATTAGTACTTTCAGCTAGTGTTAATTCTATATAAAGTGAATGATTATATGGTGAGATATTTCTCGGTGATCTGAATATAACGTTGCGTCGTTTGATAACCGTTCGTTGTACGTGATCATTTGGGAAGCGTGGCCCAGGGTTTTGTGTATCTAGGGCTCAGCACAAAGACTTATCTTGATCCCTCGAATCACCAAATCCTTAAAACTTAAAATATTTAATCTCAGGATTAGGACAAATAAGAACATTTGAAAAAAAATTGGAAAAAAACTAAGCCGTTCTCCAATATTTTCCATTACTTTAGTAGCATATCGATCAAATGTATTTGTAGCTCCATTAGTCCAAGCTAGTGAACGCTTTTGCTTCTTTTGTTCCTCAAAAATCTTTTTACAACAATAGTCTACAAAGTCATTGCTACACTGGAAATGTGGTGGCTTAGTTAGAAGGCTTTTAGTTTTAAAATTCTTTATTGTAGCCTAAAATAAAACGCGGTGTCCTCTGACTACACACTAGTATGCATTTGTACGCTTCTAATGCCACCCATGAATGACTTAAAATTCTAGTGTTGTTTCTTCCAAAAAACCTTTCGCATTAAGTGTACGTTATTGTAAGTCTTCATCTTGGTAAGGGAATGAGGAAGCTAGGAATTCATTTTTCTATAATTCTTCATTTTAGTCACTAAAAAGTAAAATCTGAAACTCCAAAGTTCGTGACTACACCATAGTTAGCATTTGCTTTCATTTTTCTTCCAAAACCTTTCCATCGAGCTTAAGATAAAACGTTCAAGTCTGTGACTACACTATAGCAAGAGAATATTCATATTCTCTTGACTATAGTTAGCATTCGTAGTCCTTAACGCCTTAATTTCTCGACCATTTTTTCTTTTTTCGAGAAGAAAAAAACATTTTAGCTTTACCATTCCTACAGCCTCGATTAAGGAATCCTTGAGCCAATATTTCATAACTCAATCTTTTAGCCTATAAACTAAATAACTCGAGTGATGAACGATTGATTTAACTATCCTGGTGCTCTCCATCTAAAAAAACTGTACATGTTTTGTGTTTAATTGGTTACATTGAGTCAGTCCCCTAGACTGAGTCTTTTATCTCCTTTGATAAGAGCCCATTTATAACAAAAATGAAACTGCTGGTGTTTGAAGAATTGCATTTCCATCCTAAAAGGCCGTAGGGGGGATGACATCAGTTATAAACCAGACAAAAGATTTCGTGGTAAGTTTTCGCTGTTGTGAGACGTTAACGTTTTTGCTGAGTGCTTCAAAGATGCGTTACCAGAATTTTGGAATATGTGATAGTCATTCGAGTACTATTGCGGATACAACCTCACTCAGCAGAAGAAAAACTCTAGGTTTATAGCAGTAAATAAATAAACGTCAAGACGATTGCTATAAATGGATGGCGAGGCTGGAGGAATTCCCAAGAATTAACCTTGGCTAGCAAATGCATGCAGTATTCTCTCAACTCTCCAATACCCCCCTACCCCCCCTCCCCTCCCCTCAAAACATCCTTTTGTACTTCACGACTTCTTTCTCGGGTTTTCATTCGTCAAGAGCCCCATTTTCTCTTGCGAAGAGATAATAACGAATTAGCTAAACTTTCTAAACTTAAGCTTCAAGTCCCTGGGGGTTTGACAAAACATTTATAGCAATACAAGTTGCCGAATAACTGTCGTTGTGTATTTTGTATCAGTGTGGTATAATGCTATCTTTAGAATATTGAGACACTTTACTTTACCGCCAAGCCGACGCCTCTATTGCTGATTATCGTCCACTCTTCACATTCTACACTTCCCCCGCCATCTTTTTCATGTATTTATCCACTTTTATAGCTTTTCTTATTTCTACTTGACTTTCCTCATTTTTCACCACACTTAACCTCTTTTCGCTCTTGACGTCTTCCTAATTCCATCCCACCACTATCTCCTTGCTATTACTTCATTTTCTCTTCTTTTCATTCTCAAACTTTTCGTCCCACTTTTTAAATTTACTCATATTTCCCTTCTCGATTCTGATTGCTCAGATTTCACTTGCAGACCGTGATCAAGGCAGCCGCGCCGAAGCCACGCAACCGTGTACAGGAACCGAAACTCGGTTTGAAACGATACAAGACAGGCAATATCAATATATCCATGATAATGATGCGCTAATTCATGAATTATTTAAATAAAACTCTTGGATATTTTGCGCATTGGTACAAAAATAGATCAGAGTCGCCAAGGCGTGATTTTTTTTTTTTTTTTTTTTTTTTTTTTTTTTCTTTTTTTTTTTTTTTTTTTTTAATTTTTTTTTGGCCGTTTCGCAATGCTAAGTCGAGCAATGCTTATCGCCTCTCTAAAGCTCAGTATATCGTGATTCTTTTGACCTGATGGCGGTTCGCATTCAACATTATCTTATCGGGGATAGAATTTCAATGCTTTTATTCGTAATAAGATAGCTGTCAATAAAACGTTATTGAAACCCTTCAAAACTAAGCCTAAAAAGTAGCAAAAACAAAATCTCAAATTTACTAACTACTCCTGCATACTAATTAGAATAAATCAACACTTAAAACCGTTCAATTAGTTGATTGATTTTAAGTCAAATGTGGGGGTTTCGGTAGGTGATTCTTAGCTTTAAATCTTGAGGCTTTTCCCCACGTGTTTTTTTACCAAACATATGGCGAGTCTTTAACCAAGAGCGCTGATTGGTTCATTTGGTTGCCAGGCATTTCAGGGTTGCCTTTATCAGATCTGATGAACTTCAATACAGAATTTGCATGAGAATGAAAGAATACCCTACATTAGTAAATACATAATCTTTGTCCTTTGCAAACTTAATCGTTTCCTAGAATTTTACGAAGAAAAAATTAATTTTGCTAAAGTTTACTCAATTGTTTGTTAGTAAAATTTTGCAGCTGAATGAGTTGACGGCCTTACGAAAAGAGCCGCACACACGATGCAAACGTTTATTAAAAAAAAGCAATAATATTTGACGATCTATACCTGATTTTTGATCTAAAAAAAGGTATATAGTTCAAATATTTTGACTTTTGATTCAGACAATTTATAGGTCCTAAACGGAGGTCTGAAACAGTACGTTTGCTATGGATTATGCTCTAGCAAGTAAATGCAGCTCAAAATTAGTCAAATGAGTTATGGGGGAAGCAAGTTTAGGAGAAGGTTCGAGTTAAATCTGAACTTGTACTGAAAAACTAACTGAGAGAACCAGGCTCTCTACTGGTTGAATAAGAGTTCTAGCTGAGTAGATCAACTGGTGACGAAGCGAAAAAATAAAACCACCAGCTAATAATTCTCGCTCGAAACAAAAGAATCCTTTAAACTTGTTTGCAGAAAAAAGTCTCGATATCACCTCGAAGCGATGAGTAATGTCAGTTTAGAGTGTTAAGGGAAGTCAAAAACTAAATAATCATTACTCAAAATAATTATTGTTAGATTTTTAGTTACGTTTAATATAGTGGTGAGCAGCCAGTGTATGTATCGCTTGCATGGTTTTTTTCGAAGCCCAAAGCAATAATATTTATCCGCTATGAAAAGTGAAACTGAGAATTAATTTCCTCAAAAAATCGAAATAGGAAACTGATGTTTGAATAGAAATGTCGAATATTAAGTTTGTAATCAAAGTGATATTTGCTGTTAAAAGAGAGTCTGCTTCGAAATTAAATCTTGGATATATCTTAGCTGTTTCGCCGACCGCATTAATATCCAGACTTCTAACAAATTCTCGTTTTTAAATTAATTTGTTTTTAACACCGTAGGATCCACTCTTTGGGGTTCTTGTCGCTATTCTCCGGGGATTTGCAAATAATTTTATGAACACGAGGAGAATTATTCTCCTAGAGATCATAAGTAATTATTGACTGACGAACTCGGGCTGTGATTGGTTGAGATTGGCAGCTGGATGGTAGGTGACCACCACCCTGACCAATGACCATCAACATAAGTTCGTATGTTATTCTAGTCTGAATTGAAAACATTATCGATGCTCCATTCCCCCAAGCAAAGATGCTAGGTTTACATTGTTGAGTCAAGATACAAGCAAGCAACGCAGTTCTAACGCTTAATAGCGCTTTATTCATGGACTAGATGATGCAGCAAGACCTGCATAGGTAAGACGATTGAATATCTGTTTCATGGGGAAATTTTCTAATTCTCGCGAAAATTGTCGTTCAGTAAGCAAAGAACGAGTATTTCGTGCATGCAATGTTCTGCGTGAAAGAGCACACTGTGAAACATCGGTCAAAAACAATCCAACTTGAGACTCAAAGGTTCTTCAGTGATAGCCAACTTTGAAATTGGATGTCGTATTTGTTTGGAAGTGAAGGTTTTCGGAGAAAACGGGAAATGTTTGATAACGTGAAGCGAACGACGTTGTGTGGAGACGGTGTAGTCCAGTTACAGAGAAAAAGAAAAACGCGTATTGTCATCGAACACCTGTTTTCGACGAATCATAGAAATTGAATTGACATAAAAATAAGCCTTTTTCTTCGTCTTTTTCTCCTTCTAGCTTCTCTAGAAGTATTCTCTGTAGACGTGTTTGCGATAGATGCAACAAAGTTATCCGCTTTTTCGGTTTTCGTTGCAAGGACTGCAGGTTAGTAATGCAACTTTTATCATATGCTTTCTTAGTTCAATCAAGCACATTTATGTAATTTAAACAAGTCAAAGTCGTCTACATACAATCGTAGAATATCTCAGTTACATTTTCAAAATGGTTTCCTTCAAAGTTACATTTACTGATAACAACTTTCCATCTCTACTGGATGGGTTATCACAAATTATTATGTTAAGTACTAAGCGATTTGTATTTTAGGTTTAAATGCCATAGAAAATGTTCCAACTGCATAACTACAAAATGTCGCCAGACTCGGGATTTTCGACCAAACCACAGTAAGTAAAAGTTAGCTTTTTTTGGTTTTAAAAATATTCTTTCTGCTTTTTAATGTTTGTACTTAGGTTGATCACTTCGGCGACCAGTTTGTTGGTTAAACATCCCGTGAAATTTCCTAATTTATTTTTTGCTTTATCGTTTTGACAGTGACATGTGTTGGGAAATTTTGGCAAAAACCATCCAAAAGAAGAAAATGGCCATTAACTTCGAATTTCGATTCTCTTCCCTCTCGACGTCCAAATGTCCCTGAGGATTTGCAAAGAAGTTTACAACCTCGAAAATACATTGACGCTAAAGGGAAAATTCGCCAAAAATTAATCAATGGCTTGTATGACTCATTCTGCTATAGTCCTAGGCACGATATTGATCCGCAGCCATCGAGTTCCTCTAAAGCTTCCTCGACGCCGCAGCAAACAACAAACGTAACAATACACCGAGAACAAATACTACGAGACATCAAGTCCTCTTTCCGAGGCGAACGGCTTGAGTTTGGTGATGTTGACTTAGTGAACGCTTCAGAAAATACTCGGCGAACCTCGCAAGAACAATATCTACCATGTCCGCAGACGTGGAAAAGAACTTATTCTTGGTCAAGTAGGCATTCTGCAATGACCTCCTTTACTTCTTCTTCTGGATATTCATCAATGCCAGCGTCTTGTCCTTCATCAGCAAATTCACACCGGAGTTCCTCTCCAACTCCGGATTTTTCGAACATTAGATCCTTGACTGCTACGTTAGAGCGATGCAGTCTTGAAGAAGACATGGATCAGTTGCAAGATAGGGAAGAATTTCGTGAAAGTTTCGCGGAAAGATCTTTACCTATGTATGTACTTACGTGGCCGATGGCAAGGAAAACTCGTCCAAATCAAAACGATACACGGAGGATTTTTTCAGGTAAGAAACTCTTAACTTTTGAATATTTTTTACTTGTGCTTTTGCTGAAGTTCCTGTACGGAGAAACTAATTAATGCGCAGTTGTATTGTAGTATTGTTTTGCCTTGCGAATGGTCTGTTTATTTGCTTTACAATATTTGATCAGTTCTTCCACGCAGTAAGTTTACTCTGATTTCCCTTCATCAATGGAATCTACTTTCCATTTATTTCATTTCACAAAATTTCACTGAAAGTCAAAAGTGAGGTTTAAACAGGGATTTGATGATATTTTCTAGAGCTTCCTGAATAATTGCGCAAATTCGATTAATTTTGATTAAGAAAACTAGGACAGAGGAATAAAAAAAAGTAAACTTGAATCTAACAAGCAAAGCATGAAAAACTGCACAGTCTAGTTGTTAAACTAAACCAGCTGACGGTCTATTCCTTCGGCTACCAATTTCGGCTTGTTTGGCTACGAATGACGTCGAACCGGCTTCAAACCACATTCTAAATATGGTTATCCAGTATAATTTCGAATCTTTTGAAATAATGGTCGATTTGGTTTGATCTAAGTTGTTCCTGCTTTGTCTAGAGAATTCGGCTTATCCTCTTGATCGGGAGCTAATTTGCATACGGTGTGGTTACACTATAGAGAGCATTCTGCTCTGTTAGCTCTTACTCAAAGCTACGTTTTATTGTTCCGGCAGGGATCCGGCAGGTTTCATCACAAGTCAAATTACAACACTGAATGAATTTGCACCACCTATTTATTATATTTTTTTGTTTCTTTATTCCTCGTTTGCACCCTTATTTGGCAATGCAACTGCCATTTCCAAAGGCTCTTATTTTTATATTTCAAATGCTCTGTGAGAATTTGTTTTTGCTTGTAGGTATTTCGGGGGCTATTTCGTATAAATAGGTTTATGTTGAAGCAATATCGTTAATGTGTGGGTAGTAAGTGACTCATGCTTGATCTATCTTTGGCTGACATCTCGAGAAAAACGTACAGCGCGTCAGAATTCTCGACACTTGACGTAAAAAAAAATCTAAATCTAGACATGAAATGCCGTTCAGGAAGGATGAACAATGATTATTCCAATGATTATTTTGGGTTTTTTATTAATTTTGCTGGAGACGCCCCGTTTTTAGGTGGATATAGAATCCAATATTTTGGTAATAAAAGGGCGTCATAGTCCTTCTAATTTGTCGACTGTCGACTGTTATTTTACTTCGAAGTGTGTAAGTTTTTCATTTAATGAGCATGCAAAGAGCGCTGGTAATGCCACTCACACCAAATTGTATTTCAAAATTATCTAGTTTTTAATCAAAGGACTAGATCGTGATATCCTTCAGTACAGTGTATTTTTCTTCGTCTATCCCGCATGAAATTATCAATACTGTTAACTCTTACTTATAAATGCTATTTTCTCTGTGTGAAATGCTTTGCTTATCGCAAATTTTGTGCTTAGTATTTTTATTCATAAGACATCATTACGAGAACATTTGATTTCCAAATTATATTAACATATCAATTATTTTTACTACTTTTTTTTTTTGGTTTTTTTTTTTTTTTTTTTTTTTACAAAAATATTAACATTTGAATAAAAAAGACTCGATATTTGAGTTGTCAATCGCGCATGCACGGAGTTGAAAAAATCCAACAACTTAAACTCCATTGTCATTTTTAACATCTTTAATTTGAATGTTGAGTAATTAGAAATTAATATTCATTACGCTGTTAATAGATCTTTTAAACTGCTCATTTGAAAAGCTTGAATCAAGACTTGCAAAACTAAACTCTACTTTTCAAAGTATAATAGTTGAAGAATCGAAACAACAAACTGTATCAATACAAGCTTTTTTCGTTGATAAATTCAGTTTGCGAAATTCGTGCGTTCATGACATCTCACATACTTAGGGATGGATCTTCTAGGTGACCATCTATACCAATATCTATTAGAAATCTATTTTTAGATTATGTGAGGTCCATGTAGAATTGAATTTCCCAATTGCGTAAGAGTTGCTGGTGCAAAATGACATTCAATGATTCTAAAATATCTGGTTTCTTTACTAAGAACTGTGATAAATTAAAGCGATTCTTTTACTCAATTCTCATCGTTGAGAGCTGTGTTGAGAGCTCTCAGCGTGTATACTTTTGTACTTTTTCTAAGCCTGCACAATATCAATATAGATATGCCAATGTTACTAGGTGCAATAATTCACTGTGGTGATGAACGCACCCTTTCAGAAAAATTTATTTTCAAATTTGTTTCAAATTAAAGTCAGTTGATAAATAAATAATAGATTAACACCTGAAAAGGATACTTCTTTGTTTGCTCAAAAAACCACCTTTAAAATCGAATTAAATAAAGGTAAAAAGGTAAAAAATCATCGATCGATACTTAGGTTTCCAGAATGCAAATAAATGCAAAGCTGAAATAGCTAAAATATTGAGAGTGAAAGCTGGAAGTCCACACCACAAATAAAACGATAAATAATTTGCCAGCGGAAGAGTTGATTTTAAACTATAAAATATGAAGGCTTTACCGTAGTAAGATTGAATGTGGAGAGATTTGGATTCAAGCAAGTCAAGGAAGTAGGCCATGAAATTTTCCCAGGCCAAAACAGTTACTCGTAATTTATGACCTCTTCATTCGATCATAAATCAAAACATCGACATCTCTAATCCAAAAATAAATATTATAAAGATATCATATTTTTTAACAAGTTTTACTACAAATATGCTAATCATTATTCTTATTCTTATATTTTTAGTGAATGATTAATTTTTCTTTCAGTATATAATAATAATATTAATTTTTCAATATTTATTTTTCGTATAGTCAAACTTTATTTACTGTACCTATGATTTTTGTATCATATTTTTACTTTTTTGATATTTTAAGTAATTTTCTACATAAGGGATTTTATCGATTTATATATATTGTAATTAATGCATAGTTTTTGAGGGCCACAGGTTTGTTAGTATCTTCAGTATACTATTACGTGTCACCCTCGTTAAATAAAGAATTTATTATTATTATTATTATTATTATTATTGTTATTAAGTACAAATAATTAATGCTACAAATGTGAAAGAAACGAAACCTAACCTTTCTTCTTTAGCTCATTATTCACCATCCACGATATATAGCTCTGATTACGTGAAAACGAGAAGAAATATTTTCAATTATCTAAGATTTTTGAGCAGGAATAGATTAATTCCTTAGACATCAAAGATCAGATTTGTAATTTGGGTTCCAGCTAATATTTACTTAGTGATTTTATTAGCGTATTGTTTGACTTTTAAGTGTTTTTCTTTTCTTCGGGCTTTGATTCAAAGGTGATGCTTGTATAAATAACTAATACTAACGACGGAAATCACAGTATAGTTGCAAGAAAAGGCATAACGAAAGACAGCTGTTAATATTATGCATTGAACTATATATTGATGGTGTATTTCTGGATGCACACGCATACGGCGGTCTCCAAGACGCTGGCCACTTAACCCGCTATTTCCCCTTAGGCAGCTGGGTACTGAGATGATATTGGCCCAGCACATTAATTATTGAAAACCTAAACCCGTCAGAGAGAAGGTGGAAGGTACTCCCATATACCTTACGTATGTTTTGGCTGATGAAATCGTAAGTCACTCCCTCTCTTTGCGGTGAAAAAGGCTGTTGGTTTTTAGCACTTGCAGTATCTTTTAGGAGTAATTCGTGTCATGAAGTTGCAATAAACTCATTGATATTTGTTTTATATGATTTATCTTGTGTTTCAAAGTATAAAAAAAGGATTTAAAAAAAAACAGGACCACGCCTCAAAACTCTTTTTTAGCGGTTGAAGTTATTCATACCGACGATCTGCCCTCTTTACGTGCGAGTATCCCCAAGAAATAAACGCTTGTACGATAAAATCTTTCATAAAATTGTAGCTTGGCTCTTAAAAGCTTGTTTCATTCAGCAGATGAAATGAAACCGTTTTTCTAGACTTTCTAAATAATTATTATTCAATTAGAAAGGCTTTGAGTACGAGGTTTTAATATTATAGTGCAGATGTGATATGATATGATACTTGGTGGTGGACTTTAGGGTTATTAACCCCATTGATTGGCTTTCAGTCATTGTTTGATTTAGCCGGGTTCTATGTGCAATTAGATGAATAGTGTATAAAGATCACAATGAGTTTATGTGTGGGTGGCAGCTCGCTGCGAAGAACTGAGCTATTATAACTAAGATAGAAGCAACATGATGGGCGACGAAGCAATCGGCTGTCAAATGCTTGACATTTTAGACTTGAAATCTGTAGGTAATGAACAGCTTAATCAATGAAGGAAGGAAGAAAAGAGCGAAAAGAACGAGCAAAAAGTTAATTATTTAACAGATTGAGAAGTATTAAGTTAAGAAAGTAAGAAAGAAAGAAAGAAATACAAGATGATGAGTAAAAATAAATAATTGTCGCAGAAAATAATAATTAAATTTAATAAAGAATAGAAGAAAAAAGAAAGTAAGAAAAACTGAAGAATGAAAGAAAGAAAGCAACTTGCACCGACAACACTAGCTGCAAAAGGGGCTATTAACACTAGCAATAATATTATTCACAGACAGACTCTCGTCCGCCCACGCTGTCCGGGCCGAAAACTTTAGGAAAATAAACAGTTTAAAAATTAAGCTCAAATCTAACGGATTATGAATGAAAAAATCAAAGTTAATTTTAAAGATGAGAGCCAATACTCAACATGTTCATACACGATTTTTCCGTTTAAAATATCGAGTAATACATGTTAACAGACATAATAGACTCCGCAAAGTGAAAAAAACGAGTTAAAGGTGAATTTTTCTTATGCAGAGAGTGCTTATTTTTTAAGTGTGAGATGTAATAAGATACAACTTAATTGATATGATTTCTAAAATAGATTTCCATCGATTATTTTAGATGTTAATCTTATATTTTTTAATGGCATTTTTATTTATTTTCATATATATCTTATATATTATATTAATAGTTATTTATATATTGACCATTGATCCTTCATGCAAGTTATAAAGCAAGGTGTCGTGAAAAAATAAAGTAGATGTAGGTGTAATTGTCCAGGATTTGTTCCATTTATTCCATTCTATATCCAATTCTCCCAACATCCCCAAGTGTTTCTCTGCACTAGATAAATACAACTTAAACGATAATATATTCCTGTCAAGAACCGAACTGTAACGTAAAGTTAGATATTAAAAGTTCAAAGTTTTATTAAGCAAAGATGTCTGGTTTTTAAGATGGTATTTGTTCAGTGTTGAAAGCATCAGTAAAAACAAACCTACAGAGATCAGAGGACAGAGATCACACTCAGAACCCTCCCCCAAGGGTGATTCAAGGATTGATACCAATCCTACCCACCCCACAGGGGTGAGAAATTGTTATTGATCAACTTTCTATAAGATCAATTTAGAAACAAACCTACAGAGATCAGAGGACAGAGATCAGACTAAACCCTCCCCCAAGGGTGATTCAAGGATTGATACCAATCCTACCCATCCCAAAGGGGTGAGAAATCGTTATTGACCAAACTTTCTATAAGATTAATTTAGGAACAATATTCAAAATTTCAATAATAATCATTTTTATTCATTTTCCTCGCTTTTCAATATTATCTGTTGAACGCCGGGTTTATTACAGTCTGTAACCAACGATTGACGTATTTTGCATAAGAATTTTTGGCGCTTTTTAATTCGTTATACTCAGTTTTATGAGGAGTTAAAAGGAGACTCTGCTCGCAGGGTAACGAAAAAAGTCCTCAATACCAAAACCTTACACTTGACTACCCGTTAGTTCATTTGAAAGTAAAAAAAAGTATTTGCGTCGATCTTTCAAATTTAAAGTGTTTGAAATGGCTACTTCAATATCAAGACAACTGTTCACTTAGCCAAATCGACGAGTTGTACGTAGCAAGATTTCGTTTAAGAGGGAAAAAGCTTCATTCATAATTAAACTCTTATTTCTACTGCAAAGTAACCTGTGATTATCCGGCATCACTTGTCTTTCTTATATCTACTGTCTAATTAAATCATGTTTGGTAATATTTTTTTGAAGAATAAGGGTCTAATTTCTGCCACTAGCCGGCCTTGAATGAAAACAACCTCTCAGACTGTGTTTGTGCCAATTACTCTCAAACCTGACAGTAGATTTAATCAGTTTATGGTTTATTTTACATCGACAAGGCGTCGATAAATCGCGCTGTGTGTTTGCTTGATAATAACTGCACTAGGCCGAGTTTAAAGTGATAGGTTTTTTGATGCATTTTGCCCAAAAGTGTGGTCGTATTTCCTTTTGTGTTTCTTATCAATCCAACATTAACTCGCCCTACCATCTGTTGGATTTTGCTGATTTTTGAACAAGTTTCTTTCACCATGAACACGATAATATCGCCCTTAAAACCACAAAATACTGACCCTTACCACATGTGTTTCAATCATTCTGATTTATTCAAGCTTATTCATGGTTAGCTGTATAAATAACTACGAGTTTGTGGTTCAAGTGATAAGTGGTCGAGTCACCTGGATTCTTCATCTTGTTGAAAGGAATCATCTCCAATAATGGCTCTTGAAGCGATATTGATCTGTCTTAGAACACGAATGCAAACTTGCGCATGCTCTCTAGGCCCTCCCAGAAACGACACTGACGAGATACATAGTGCGCATGTCCGGGAAATCAGCGCTGAACGCATCTCAAAAACTCCGATGCTTTTAAACGTGTAAAATTTAGCGTTAATACTCTATAAGTTGAAGCTATTATTCTTGTATTAGGTGCGGTTCTATCATAGTTTTCTTCCACTGAACAAATTATGCCAAAGAAATTTTCTTTCGAGTCTGAGAACGACAAATTCATTTGTAGGTCGCGATCATGTTCCAAGCATGCGCAGTTCGTTTTTTCTAATATTCTCTTAAAAAGTACTTGGTGTCTTATCTTATCATTTACGTTCTGCAAGACACTAAAACTTGCTTATTTACTGACAGATATCAATACGTGACGACAATGAAAACGATAGCACCCCACATGACGTCATATGATTTATTTTTAACCACATACGACAAAAACCAAATGCAAATTTTCGCCATTAAGACTCCTTAAAAAAACATGCCGAGAATTTACCGAAAATCCGCCGACAATCACCCGATCTGACTTCGGAAATCATTAAGCGTACGAAGTATTTATTAATAGTAGTTCGGCTAAATTTACTTCATGGTTGTTTTTTTGATTATTTTTCCAGAACGTTTATTTTAATTGTCATCTGAGACATCCGCCATCCGGAGTGTTACTGAAGTTCCCTCAGTGCTTATAAACCTGAGAGGGGAGGGGTGGGTTATCATTTGTAAATTTGTTAGAAATAGCTAAATAAACAGTCAATCAAAACCGTTTTAGGCCTTTTTTGTTTGCAGTGTGAATGAATAGAAAGGTGGAGTTGAAGGAAAAAAGAAAGACGAAAACTAGGAAAAATAAAAACTGATGCAAAGGCAAAGAGAAAGAAAGAAACAGGCAATGGATGCAAATGAAGAGGGGAATAAATGAATTAATGAAGGAATGAAAAAATGAAGAGATGTTAAGGAAGAGGAAAAAAAGATCCAACTAGAAAGAGAAAATTTCAGACAAAATTTCAACAACCTACCAGAAATGTCTAATGAAGTTGGAGCATTCTTAATATCGGTAATCGTTACACTTTCAACCAATAGAACTTCTTTCTCCTAATGTGAAGATTTATTCATTCACTTAATTTGCACTCAGTTTTCTTCAGGGCGGATTTAAGAATACAAATTAGGAGCTAAGAATAACCAGAACTTAATTATCATCTGGAATAATAGAACTTTAACAGCTAGTTTTCTTATAAAGCTAGAGAAGCGAGGCGCTTTACCTCTAAATACCCCGCTCTCGTATTTCGAAGGTTAACTTACCAGAAATCATGCAGCGCTTGGAAAGAGCTCGCAAGAAGATAGCTAAATATATCTTCTGCATTTCTCCTACAGTTGATGATTGTCAAACGACAAGCGAGCGAGAGGATTCTGTAAAATCAAGTACAAGGTAAGATTCCTACCTTAGTCTCATGCGCTGTAAAACTAAATGCGTATGCTACACATACACCATAGTTACAAAATTGACTAAGATGCAGTCATTCCGTAGCAAAGGTTCAAAATTCCCTATGTAAGCTTGTCTGAAAATGGCAAAGCATTTTGAATTTCAAAGATTTTATCGATATGTTATCTGGGTGCTTGAGACGTTTGCTCTTCTTGTATTTAACACATCGTGTTGTGTTTGGGGTAGTTACAGTACGTGCAATAGAGTGGAGGCGAAGTTTGTTCGCACGAGAAGAATATCCATGCAAAAAGGAAGGTTTTTAGAACCGGTAGACTCACCTTGAATCTCTCGGGCGCACTATTTGAGCAAATCTCAGCGAAATGTCGCCAAATACACGTGACATCTTCGTACATAATATATTTAGTATTTTGACAAAATATATTGATGGAATACGCATGCGTAGTAGAATACGCAGTAGAATGGCTAATCTTTTCTTTTTTGTCTTTTTTTCCTCTACTATTTTCCTCTTTTTTTCTTTCTACTTATTTCTTTGTTTTTGTTTCGTTTTTGTTTTGTTTTTTGTTTTGTTTTGTTTTTCGTTTTTCATTTTTGATACTGATTTTTTTCTCTTCCAGTTTCATTTTTCCCTTTCTTTTTCTATTTGTTTTGTTTTTTCGTTTCGTTTCGTTTTTTAATTTTTACTTAACACTACTATAATGCATACACAAGCTATAAATGCTATATGTTTTTAACCTGCTTAGGTCATTATCGTGCTGCAAAGCAGCCAGACAAATTTCCGGCTTTTCTGTGTGTTCCGCCAGGAGTTTCACATAAAATGGTGTTCATTGGAAATACTATTAATAAACTCAAATCGATTCTATTCATAGAATGTTTGTACTCGCTATATATCAGACGCTCGAGGATTTAGCTATAAAATAACAAAAAAATTGAAGTATGTTTTTTTAAAATTCTTATTATTCGCCATAGTAATTTATCATGGAATAGTTTCCAGCATTACATGCAAAACTATGAAATAACTTAACCCCGAGAATTATGATATAACCAGTATGTAACTTTAAAAATCTTTTTAAAAGATATTCCATGTTATTTCCACGGCAACTTTTTCCTTCTTTTTCCCACCCTTCTCTTTTTTCTTTCTTAATCTTATTTTGTCAGTTTAAGAGTATATAAAAGGAAGCCAAATATTTAGCTCAAATATAATTTTTCTTTAATTGTTTTGTAGGTGTTCACAGTCCGACCAGGACAGCGAGGATGATATAAAGGTAAGTATTCCGGAATGATAACCTTGATTACGTAACAAGTGATGTTAATGTCTTATATAAGAACCCCTATCGAACCCTGAAACAACCTCTGGGCTGATCTAGGTCAGGGCTTGGCTAACTCACAGATCGAACCCTTAAACAACCTCTGGGCTGATCTAGGTCAGGGCTTGGCTAACTCACAGATCAAACCCTGAAACAACCTCTGGGCTGATCTAAGTCGGGGCGTGGCTAACTCACAGATTAAACCCTGGAACAACCTCTGGGCTGATCTATGTCAGGGCACGGCTAATTCACAGATCAAACCCTGAAACAACCTCTGGTATGATCTATAAGACAGGGCACACCTAACTCACAGATCAAACCCTGAAACTACCTCTGG